GTTGTTCATGCACGGAGCGGAAGCAGCTGAAAAGCGCTCTCGAAATTTATTCTCGCGAATAAATTCTGCTATTTTGTCTTGCTTCAAATTAATGCCGGGGAAAAATGCTTTAAATCTCAGATAAGCGGACCGTGAGGAGTAATCAGAATACGGAAGTTTCGAGTTTCGGACCGAGCCTCAAAAGGTGTGCTCCGAAGGATTTTCTCCCACTTTGCCCATCAATTTCCCCGGAACCTCAAAGACACTAGGACGTAAACTGAAGTTAATATACCAGGGAGCACATGGAAACGCTGGGGGACCCATCAATTAACAGAAACCCTCGTAGCTGTATCAGGCCACGGCACGAGATTCGCAAAACACGGCTATCTGGGCTTTATGGCAGTACCTGTGAGAGGGGGAGGGGAGTGAACGATAGATGCAACGCAAGTCTACCACCGCTTCAAACGAATACACGCAAAAGTCACCGCGTTTGCCGAAAGCCTCTGGCAACCTGAGATGTGTGGATAGGCATGGTGAGCCAAGTCATTTAGGTCAATGGGTGCAGATGGTAGCTCCTATGGCCCGAGCCTGGTAATTAATACACACTGTGAACTTGCCCGATCGTTGTTCCCAAAGCCAGCAGGGGAGAGGAAGAGAGGGCGATCAACCACACTGAGAGTTGTGTTAAAAAAGCAGGCTACCCCCACAGAACTGCTGCGTATATTTATCGATTTATCGATCCGCTTGATTTTTAAGTGTTGGGGGCATGACAAATCATAACTGACAAAGGATCGATAGCCACACGGAACGGAGGCAGTTCCAACAAAAGCGAAAACTCCTCAAGCGTGATTAGGGCTGCTCAGTTCAAAGAAACAGTACTCAGGCCTATGGAGGGGAGTGGGAGACGGCGGAGTACTTTCGTCATCGACAGTGCGAGATGAATCACGCGATACAGTTGTGGTTCTCTCCGTCGTATGGCGGAAGTAGGACCAACGGCTGTATTTAGTGTCCGCCAGGTACTGGGCTCCCATTTCCTCTCATGCACTGAGGGCGCGTCTGCATGTGGAGACTTTCCTTTACATGTGCTTCAGTGCCTATACAGAGAGTGCATGGCTTAACAAATCACAAAAGGAGGATGATTTGTTTATCGATAAGTTGTCGCTCTTCCTTTGAAAGACATTTTTTGATGTTTTCTTTTTTTTTCTTGTCTTGCTCAAGGCCGCAAAATCCGCTGTTACCAGTGAGCAAGATGCACCGGCCAAGAAGTTTTCCCTTTCCGACCGGAATGCTATTCTTCGCGAAGTGAAGTCTCGAACAAGTAATTTTACTTCCTTTTTCTTTATTCGTCCCCGCCCCTTCATGCTAGCGTGAAGCATTGCCTGTTGGTTACGAAGTGAAAACAGGCGCAGACAGCAGGATTTATTGGTACAAACGAATTTTTTGGTTGCTTTTCAACCGCCTGACACAGATAAGAAGTGGAAGTACAGAACACTTTGAATTTTCACAGAAATCAATGCACAACAAATTCACCCAGACATTCGACTCGGTGATCGCTAGTGACAGTCGGTGATTTGACAATGGAGATCCGGGCCAGCTCCCCAGAACGTCCACAAAATTC